TCAAAACTGGGAGTAAAAAAGAAACCAAACCCATTCGTCATTCAGTTCCATACCCAAAAAGTTGCGAAAAAAACCTCATTTCCTCTAATGACATTTCCATAACAGCTCTCTCACTATGCGTGAAAAGGGACCAAACAAGAAGGAGAGGTCGGCTAGGACATTGGCAGGCGGTGCCAATATGAAAAGGCTTAGGATTATCGTGGGATTAGCGATAAATACTTCAACGGCCCCAGAGATTAGTAGAGTCGCCCGGCACAGAGGTGGAAGCCGGCCAGCCAATTACGCGTTTTGTCCTGATTACTGCATTATTCACCTCCTCACTCCGCGGCCGCTAGATGGCGCGGCCAACCGTAAGGCGCTCACAGAACAACACCGAAGGCTGAGGCTCTAACTCTAAGCAGATTTTCCTCTCCACATTTTTTTGCGTAGCTGGTCTCACGCACCATTCAAACAGCCTTATTTGGTTTGAGGTAAGTTCGCATTGCTTTGTTTGAGAGCTTCTTTTTTGGGCTGAATAAGTAATGGACCTAGTAAGGCTTATCTATTTGTTCCGTGTGAAACTTGACTCCTTGTAAGCTTGTTTCAAAGAAGGATCCTTACATTACTTTTCTTTTCCGAAACAGCCGACATTTGAGTTCTAGGTTCTGGCCCTTCGGCCTGGCTGAAGGAAGGATAAAAACACCATCAGTTTCGCAGTTTCTGATATTGAGTAAGTTTTAGTTTTTAATGACGCAGCTTTTTCTTCTTTTTTATTTTTTTATCTTTTTTCACCTGTGGCTTTGAGAATCGGATGAAACATTTTGTGTCCGCAGACTCAAGGTGACGTCATTGAGTGCTCGTCTTTTTGATACCTCCCAAAAACAAATCCGATTTGGTAAAGACTGAGAGCAAAGGCCCTACTACAACGCAATAAACCGATGGTGTTGTCCATATATTATTACACCGCTAACTGACAATGTGTGCGTATTTTTTACAGTCTCTATAGGCTTTTATGTGAATATGACTTAGATTTATTCAACTACTGATTTACTACTCTTTCGAGTCGTACTTTTGTTACTACTTTCTTATATTGTTTCGTTTATAATCATTATTTTTGTTGTCATCATCGTTGGTTTGTTGTTGCTGTCATTGTTGTTCTCCTTCTTAGTCTTCCTCCTGGGCCTCCTCTCCTTCCTCCTCCTTCTCCTCCTTCTCCTCCTTCTCCTCGTCGACCCTTTCCTTCTCCTTCTTCTCTACTTCCTCACACCCCCACCTCCTCCTCCTCCTCCT